AATTGCAGAGGGTGGGAGTCTAAAGGGGAACCTTTGAATATATGTTTCGTATTCGTTTGATAGGGTTTTAATAAGGAAACCTAGAGCTTTTGGCCAGCCAATGTTTTTGGACATTTGATGGGCAAAGATTAATACTAAAGCTTCCACAAAAGAAAGAAAAAGAAGAAGAAGATAGGAGACCTTAAAATAATCTTGGCTACAAACATGGCGCAGTTAAAAGTAGTACTGTATTGCAAAATCCTGGCAGGCCAAAAAGCTGATAATTATTGCTTCATGGTTCATAAATGACATGTTAACATTAAACCCACTCGTGTGGTGGGTCATAATACATCGATTGACAGCAACCCAAATTCCATTCCGGAGGCAGTCCGCAGGTGCTCGAGAACGGTCTCCACTGTTTCCAGTTTGCCCCAGTTGGGGGAGACTCGCATGTGGGGGGGGCGCATGAGGGAGCCGCACATGGTTCTCAAACTGCTATTGTTACCCCTTTGGCGTGGATGAATTCCACAGCTCCAGGAGCTCAGCTCGGAGACATTTGGGTCTTGGGAGATCTCTACTCCTTGCAGCAGCAATTGGGAGGGGCAACTATTGATCTCGCCCCACGCGCGGCGAGCATGGAGAGGGGTGACTGAATGTGACTGATGCGATCGCAGACGCTTGATATTGATTGGGACGTGCACGGATCGGCATCCCAGATGATTCCATCAGACTTCCAATTCTCAAAAGCATGCCTCAACCTGAAAAAGAAGATGTTGGGCAGTTTCAGAGTGGGGTGTTTGGGTGAATGCCAAGTGATCTTTGCATTTGGGGGGCAGGCACCCACAAGAAGCAACAAGTATCATGCATGAATTGCCAAGGGCCACCTAGAATCCATCACTGCAACGTGTACAGTGTACATCATTACCCGTCCGATCTCAGACTATCCCCCAAAACCGCTGGAACCTCCCAGTGACTCCCAGGATTGGCTGACTCGGGTTGGTGGGGGGTTGGTTGGCGAGTCGGGTGCCAGAACCTGGGATGACTGGACTCATGGACCCAACTGCTACATGTTGGTGACGGCTCCATTTCACCCTAGGTAGTTGTGAGATTCAAAACAGAACTGAGGGTCCTTTCTGAGCCTTTGGGCACTAGATGTTGAGTTTGTGGGAGTTAGTTCTTGATGAACCAAGAGGAGCAACCTGGAGACTGTAGAAGCTCCGACGGCAGAGCTCCGGGCGGCCTTGGAGCCGCAAGACTCAGAGAGTCGAACATGACCGCTGCGGTCGACGGACAAAGACTCGCTGCGTGTCACGTGTGGAGACCGTTTTGGTGAGACCGTTTTGCATTCAGAATCTGCCACGTTTGGTTGTTATGCCATGTTTTTGTGAGACGTTGTGATCATATATGGGCACCGTTGGTGGTATGTTTTACCTGTTGCAACAGGTCGAGGTCGTACAATGATTCACATCGCAGCTCCCACGAGGTCGAGCCACTTCGGCCGACGACGAGATCAACCGACCTGTCTTAGATAGCTCCTGCTGACCTTCACAACCTGATTCCGCAAGACATCGAATCAGCAGATTGGCACTTTGATGATGGAACCATTTTGACATATTTTGCACAAGACGTGCGCTAAGTATATACTATTATTGCATATGTCAGCGAGAGGCTTTGCTTTGGCATGCTTTGGCTGGACTGATTGACGGCGGCCTAGAGCGACGATGATCTTCCTTGTGAGCCAGACAATTTCAGCCTACCGCCATCTACCGCCACTTGCTGGTGCATGCGCAGCTTTTGCTGGGCCAGCATGCGCAGCTCGGTGCAGGAAAAGAGAGCTTCCGCGCCAGCGGCTTGGGCTTCGTTCGGCTTGGGCTCCGTTGCGGCGGTGGACCGTGCAAGCGACCGATGTGTGTGTGGTGCCAAGAGCTTCCATGTGCAGATCCATTGCGTCATCGCAACATGTTGATGGAACAAAGATGCCGGCTTCAGTTGAGTCGGCAGTAAAGAAGCATCGGGACTTCGGGCCGAACCTCAGGCAAAACCAGGTGGAAGGAAAGCTCTTGGCAAAGGTTGAGCATGGTCTTGTCTATAGCACTAAACCCAAACCAGGTTTTGGATAGTGAGCAGGAGCCCGCCAGGTGCCCCTCATGCATCCCGCCTGGTACCCAACCTTTCCTTTTGCTTTGGATGAGGTGTTTTCGGGCGAAGGCAGACAGTGAGGAGGGAGCCAAATGAGGCCGGATGATTGGGTCTGCGTTAGATTTCCCCCCCCCATGGCCCATAGGTCTCCCTCATGGCCAACTGAGAGGTCAAAGGACCTACTGTAATTAACACAGAGTCAGCCGGACCTCAAAACAACTACACCCTGCAAGGCTCTATGCTGGCCATACTTGTGTAATCTTGTGTTTGATGTTTGTGCCCGACAGCGGCAAGTGTTATTGGTGAAAGCGTTTGTTCGGAATGCTTTGTGCGGGGAGCAGTGTCTAGTACGAGCAGCATAACATAAAGAGCAGACAATTAGTAGGGAGGGCTCTAATGGCAGCACCGTGGGACGCATGGTCCACAAAAATTGGTTCAAACATGGTCAAATCTACACTGGCAAGACACAAGTTGCGCTTCGTGAAGTTCAAACCTCATTGCAACATCTTACAACTCTTACAACATCTTACAACCACTTCATGGATCCTACTACGAGGGTTTGGGACGGTGGCAGTGCGGTGATTTGGGACGTTTTTTCTCACGCCTACAGTGGCGGTGGACTTGCTACAGTACTTTAATGAAAGTGTAGCAGGCAAGCAAAAACCACGTCTGGCATACGGTGCGCAGCTAAGCAACGTGATCACAAAACGGTGCCATGGGACTGGCATATTTACCTGCATTTGGGTGGTGTCAGCGGTCCATGTGGGGAAATGGTTCCAGTCGAATGGAGTCTTTGGAATAAGGCCAATCGATGCCAATCGTGGATATAACAACATAACAACGCACTTTGGCAGGAGCCACGCGGTCCAGGTTCGATCTTTCTCATGCACGACGTGTCCCGGGCGGCCTGTGGTCTGGTAATCCATCCGGATGCATCATGAATCATGTTGATATATATATATATATATCATGTTGATATATATATATATATACTATATATAGTATATATATATATATCCCAGACAGTCCATGCGTGTCATAACATGCCGACATTGACCCCCCTGGCACCACCCCAACTGATCGGCATATATGGCAGTCCCATGGAGTGTTTGGGTATGTTAATCATTATAATATTTATAATATGTGTTCTTGACGATGTAATTTAGGGGCCGTTTTTGTTCGCCTGAACTTACACCAAAAAGCCGGGGCAGGCTGCTTGTTGGATAGACATGCGCCCTGTGGCAACAACAACACACACACACACATTGTCACCATACCATTCATGCCCTGAAGCAACTAAAACAAATGGCCTCCGCCCACCTTGTGCGCTCCTCGCATGACCTCCACGTCCCGATGCACTCCTCCCCCGAGCCTCGAGCCGTTCAGGTGCTCAGCGATTCCTCAGGCGACGGCGAAGCTTTGAGGGAGACATGGGCGGCCAAAGGGCGTTTCGCGGCATGGCCAAAAGCCAAGAAGCATGTATCAGAGACGCAAGAACCATCAAAGAAGGAGGCGTGTTTTTGAGATTGTGTCGGAGGAGTATAGAGATCGAATTCCAACACTGGACATGGTGCGGAATCCATCCGAATTCCAGTCTTGGTCATCAAACAGTTGTGGTGTCAAGGCGAGCGACGTCTCGGAGGAGCCGGACCCCGCGCGAGTGGCCCGGAGCGAGGCGCGGCGGAGGTTCATCCGATCCTATTGGGGGTTAGAGTTAAATGGATAGATGGGGGGATGGATAGATAGAGTCCAGTCCATGTAAATCGATGGATGGGATGGGATGGGATGGGATGGATGGATGGATGGATGGATGAGAGAGAGAGAGAGGGAGAGAGCAGTTTCTTCGCGTTTCTTTAGCATAATTATCTTGTGGTGTCGCGCATCCACCAGTTCTTCGGCTGAGGTGTGGCACAAGCCGACAAGTGGGAGGCGGGGGCAAGAGCAGGGATAGCTTCCTTTGCCGGTGGGTCTTTGGGCGGTGGGTGGTGTGGGTGGTGTGGGTGGTGGTGTCACGGAAGCGACACGCACAGCATGGCACAGCATGGCCTCCAGCGGTTTTATGTATAACTGTATTGACCAAGGTATGCCAAGATAGAATCCTGAGTAGCATCCTGCCTCCACAATCTTCATGCCATTGCCGAAGCTCATCTCGTGGATACTGGGTGCTCACCAAACGATGCCAGTGCAGGCCATGGCGCAAGAATTGAGCTGCTTGGAAGATGGCCCTGCCATGAGATGGACCTCAGACCCCGCTGCGCCGCTCTTCAGCGTCGTCTTCAGCGACCGTTCGGGGGAGAGGGCGCTTTGAGGACACAAGCACGCGCACCCAAACGAAGCAGAGCGCCTTTAGAACACATTCTGCCAGCTGCTTCTGTTCGGGGTCACCTGGCTGGCTATCTCCACACGACGTCAACAGATCGACGGCACCCCGACAGGAAGCGCTAGGTTTTGTGTCAGTTTGGGTGAGTCGGTGTCGATTTTTTGGCTATAGAGACTAGGCCAACGTCTCGTGAGCAAACGAATGGGGGAAGAAGACCCTTTTGAAGAAAATCGTTGCGTGAATTCATTACAATTGGTCCGGTGGAAGGGCCATGTCCTTTTCTGAACTCACCTACGGTCCTATTCAAAAAGAGTTTTCAACTTCATGTTGGGCTGTTTTTGTCAACCCCTTTCCCTTCCTTCGCTGGTCCCCCTGAAAATATCGCTCGCCAGTGAGTTGGCAACCCCTCCACTGTGGCTGGTGACTCCAGACCGTCCAACCCAGATCATCTATGGGTTTCACAAATCAATTCAAGGCAATTATATGCAATAGTTCATGTGCACCGATACTCATGCAAATATAATGCATGCTTATCCTGCTTCACAAGATGTAATTAGATATATTTTGCTCTTCCAGAACATAAACCCTACACCTCCAGTCGTGCCTCCTCAGGTGTTTAGACCCTCCTGGCACCCACCCCAGTCCCACCTTCTCAGAAGGTACGACTGGAGGCCCATGAACCCATGGAGTTTCTGTTGGACCGCACCACGCCGGTGTACCTCCGGGGAACCTCGGGTGTGTTTTTTTTATTTTTATTTTCGGAACCGGCTTGTTTTCTGCAGCCGAAGGCCATGGAGACATGCAAGAAACTAAACATAATCCCTACAAGCTCAGACCTCACATGCTTTTCCAACTGGATGATGCTGGAGTCTGTAAGGGCCAGTTTTAGGCCCTTTTGTTCCTGGCACCTTTCTGTAACGAGGGTGTGCATCCCATGCTCCCTTTGACGAATGCGAGAACGGCAAGATCAGAAAAACAAGACCCGAGTTTGGCAAGCACGGTAGTCTCCCTATGAATTCCCTATATGTCCTATGGTTTAACACATCAGCACCCGGCTCGATCACCTCCAGCTGGAGGCCAACTCGCCCAACCGCCAACCGTTCAGTCGCCGAGCTGCTGCCGGGCCTGCCGAGGAGGAGGCAGTGGAGGGTGAGACCATGTTTTACACGGCGAGTTTGCAGAACATCACCAGTACGGAAAAACGCGTTCCATTTGAACTAATATTAAATACAGTTACATCATGGAAGTGGATGGCACGGGGATGGCGCCACCTGCTTGGTCTAAAAGGGTCATCCGTTCGGGGCGGCTGACAGACGACGTAACCATATGGTTCGTTCGTTCCAGTGAGTTTATCGGAGCATTACATGCATGTAGCGACTCTGCGTGGTGATTTCGGATATTGTTTGTATTCAAAGCTGATCTATTGGGATGATTGAACCCCAACCCTGACTCATTTTTTGAAGTGAAACCACCCGCGAACAGGGCGTGTAGCGCTGCACACGGGCGTGTCGTTGAATCAGTGCCTCTCAGTCCATTAGAGCTTTCGGATGCTGCTGGAAGCTGGGAGGTTTTCTGTGCTTGTTCGTCCTTGCTGGGAACCGTATACATGGTTCCCTGTTTGGAGGTTCGTCCTTGCGGTGCATCTAGTTTTTGTTGGCTTCAACTGTTTGCACATGGTTTAAACATGTTTAAGCCTGTTTTTTTTTGGACTGACGAACCTGCTGGTAATTCATGCGATTTCCTTCCGCCGGGTTGGTCGCAGGAGTGTGCGCTCAGTAAGTGACACTAGCCAGGGCGACCCAGACGTGTCGCCGCGTAGCCGGCGACCAAACAGGAGTGAGATGTTGGCGAAGTGGTGATCGGTGAAATTCCCAGACACTCCATGTATGACATATACCACCATTTGGGGGTTTGACCTGGGAGCAATGTAGGCACACACACACATATATAAAAATATATATTATAAAGTTTTTGGGCTTTGGAACTGGACTGCGGTTAAACAGTTAAGTTCTCATTTTGGGGGACTTGGGGACTTCATGGTAGGGGAAAAGTTTATGATAGAGGATTTATATACAAAGGCTTCAGTGTCATTCCAACTATGATTCTTCCACTTGACTCACTTGGTTTCAAAGATATACTGCTGAGAACTCTATGGTTGTGCCCTTGATCGGACCTTAGGAAAGGGGCAGCTTCCCCGAGTATATCTTGTTGATTCTGTTTGATGTTTTTGTTTGAGAATAACGTTTGATGATGCTGCAAATGTTGTGGACTTTTGTCGGTATAGTGATTTTGAGAAATGAAATGTTTTCAATTGCTTTGAAAAGGTTGTCATACGGCATGGCGTGTTATAGAATATCAGTTGTTGACCACAGCAGTGGGATTTCATGCCATTCACGCCAGCCATGGGAAGACCGCAAGTATCCAATATTTTGATAAATTGATAAATTGGGACCGTATGGAGGCTTTGCATCTTGTGGGGAGTTTCCGGGCATGAGCCAGAAGGGAACTGAACGTTCCAGAATTTGAAACACATGATGATCAAACAAGGAAAAAAGAGCATCTTATAGGGCCTCACCGGGCCTGCCGAGCGGATTGGTATATCTCCGCATCTTTCTCTCGTTTCTTCGGGGACTGTTTTGAAGAAACGGCCTGGAGACTTGGGCCGACGAGGGTTTTGAAGCGGTTTATTGGGGGTGACTCCTTTGACTGGACACCAGCACTAGCCACAAATGTGTGGAGCCGCAAAAGTATTGGGCTCCTCCCCTCCGCTTTTCACCCAGCGACCCTCCAAGGCTCCTCTAGCAGCTCGTCCAGCAGTTCTGCTTCGCCCACGGGACAGCGGAGCGGCGCCAGTAGCGGCGCCAGCGGTGGTGGTGCCACCAGCCGCGTGTGAAGAGACAGGGTGACAGGTAGAGAGGAGCCAGTGCAGGGCTGTCGAATGAAATCCCAGTGGTGTAGGGAAGAGGCAATGAGTTCATGAGGTTATTTGTCAAACGATGCCAGTGTGCTTTGTTTGACCGGTTACAGTTGCAGGTTGTCGGACCTCAAGTGGGGTCAATCTCGTCAGATGGATTTATATGGATACACTTTTATGTGACAACGGCCTGCTGGTGGAGCTACCTCTCGTCCTTTCTCACGCCCCGTCACCACAAAGTGGTGATTTGTCCGCCCAAAGTCGGCGGTGGAGAAAAGGCGACTTTTGGGAACTCGCTTTGTGGGTGAAGTGCTGGTCTATCCTTTACATCCTTTACATAGAGAACCAGTGTTTCGTCAAGTGGAGCCAAAACACGATGTTTTCCATCAGGCACTGTCAGGCACGACCAATTCGTAGGTTTGGGGTTCCATTGATTGCATAGGAAGTAATGTCTTTAGTCAAGGTTTTGGGGGGGGGATGCACCACTCCGATCCCCCTCTAAACTGAAAGAGAGGTGAAAGCGGTGACGTGTTGCCGGCACCAAGATTGTGAGACGGCGAGTGATCAGGAAATGGGACATGTTTTGCAGTTATCATAGCTTGGGTTTGCAGGTGTTGTTTTGATGCTCATGCTTCAAAGTCATTTGCTGCAATGTAGTATATTATATTATAATATGTATAATGGTTCTCCAATATTCGTCAGAGTTGGTTTAGATTGGATCGCCTGATTCCTGGAAGCATTGGCTTGGGAGAGACAGAGAACTGAACACAAGGCAGGTACCCGAGCGTTCTTGAGGCAGAGCTTGTGGACAGGTACACGGAAAAATGTGTAAGCCTTTATTGTTTGCCTTTTGGATCCTTTTGGAAGGGTAACTTCGTGCTGTTGCGCTTTTGGCATTAAAGACATAAGTGGACCAGCAGACCCAAGACCCACTCAACCTAACAAGTTTGACCAGAACAGGGCAACCACCGATCTTCTATGGACGGTTCATGTTTTTGCAACCTACGTGATCTTTTGGAAACAGGGAATGCCTTCGAACACGTGAACGTTGATAGCATGCCCAAGTTGTTTAACGTTTCAGAGACATGCAGGTCTAGATTCTTTTGAATGAATAGCTATGGTTATGTCCTACTCGACTTCCATGACAAATGTTTTCCACGGTTTCATGATGTGTCATGGTCAGTTTGGAGTGTCACGTCCTATGATGTGTCCCGCTTGACACCTCCCCCCCCCACAATTTTCAGTTTTCCGGCGACTCCGAGACGAGTCGCCTCTTTTGCTACGACTCGCCAGAGTTCCGCGCGCCATGGCACCAATCTGGGAAGTCGTGGGTGGCGTGGACAAGGGCGGCTTGGAGAAAAAAACACGGCGCTGGGCCTTGGACCTGGTCTTTTGGCGGATCGGGTGAGGGGGTCTTAGTTGGGACATATGGTTTGATTCTCCCTGCTTCATTCCGGGGCAGCAAATCCAAGTCGAACTGGCAGGCGATGTGGAATGCACGTGTTGCGCAGCCTTTTTCAATAGACGCTGCTTCTCGTCAGGTGGAAGTTCAGTGACTAGTGTGTCCAGTTAAAAATAACTCCGGCCCCGGAGTTCGTCATGTTCAAACACAAATGGTGGGGGCAGCCAGGCTCAAAACAGGCAGAACCAGCCGCACCCTCCGTCCTTCCCACCTTCGCAGCATGCTCGCAGCATCTGCCTCACTCAGGTGGGATCCTGGTGCGAGCTGGCCGTGAGCTCTCGTCCCCCGAAGAGTCCAGCCGCCTGTCCACTGGCGCGCTGATCCGCCAGGAGGAGCTGCAGGGCGAACGGCTTCGCTACACACGGCTGCAGGGCACCGGGCCGCTCACCGGATGGGCCGCTTGGCGCAGCAACAGGAAGGACAAGGTCAGAAAGGATTCCATCCATGGTCTGGCGCCGAACCGCATGGGTTCTGATGTCCACGCTAATATGGGTTCCAAACAGCGGGAGAATACTCCGACAGAAGTTCAAGACATTCCAAAACCTCTTGACCCTGCTCATTTGATGAAGCATGGACCTGTATTTGGACTCCTTCGCTGTAGGGCAAAGCCTTTGGATGCCCCGCCCAGAAAAACTAGGGAGGCCCATGTTTTCCTTGACAATAGAATGCAATAGACTATGTTGGCTCATTGATGGCTCTATGCAGCAATCTCCAAGTCCAAAGACATCCAGTGGGGCCCAGGCTCCGAGACACCCAGGCCCACGCCCCTCCAGAGAGGATCCGTTTGGTATGGTTTACTTCATTCCCACACGGGCCACGCCCTGAAATCGGTGCATGTGTTCCAAATCACGCCACGACTCCACGACCAAACTTCAAACTTATGGAAATCATCAAAGGATAAAAAAAAAAACATAAAAAAACAACAACAAACCATATGAACCTTTGGTCACTATTGGTCCGAAGTTTGGACATTCTTAGCAGCTTGGTTTGATCTTGGAACTCGGCGGAGAGCTGCTTGCTTCGCAACAAGCTGAATCGGTCTCCAGCCTGAGTGGGTCAGAGGAGACTTTCTCTCCAGAGTGGGGCAGATGGGCACTTGGTCACGCAAGAACATGTTGACTCACTTTCTGGACCCCATGTATTCAGTCCTAAACATCCCTAAACCATCCAAAACCCTAAATCAGAGATTTGTAGGAATGACATGGAAAGCAAACTATGGCATATGGCAATGGCTGAATCTTCCCAATCCAACGCTGACTCCAGCGCCCAAGGTGAGCTTGAAGGTCAAGGATAAGCCGATGGTGGTCTTAAGCCAGATGCCTGGCCGCACCCAAAGAGAGGGTTTGGGTGAACCACATGGCGAACAAACAGGGTCAATTCGTTCGCACCAAGGAAGCCCGATCCTACCGCATCCACACCTGTGCCCACACCTGCACCCGCACCTGCGCCTGCGGTGGACACCAAAGTGGAGGACGAAGTGGATGACCAGATCTCTACGGAGGAAGGTAGCCCAGTGACTGGGTCCAGGGTCGGAGGGAGCGACTGAGCATGCTCATGCTGAAGATCCTGCATGGCAGCGCGTTGGAGTCAGGGAGCCTTTCGCTACGGAGCCGTTCGCTTCGATGTGATAGCCGTGCCTACACTCAAGTACAGGTTCCAACCCATGCAACATAGAACGGCTATCGATGTGTTGGGTCGCTTCGGGAGGAGTTGATGTATCATGTGATGGGTGGAGTGGATGTGAAAAACATGTGGGTGGTGGGATGCTGCTCAGCGATATCGCAACCTACTGCAACTGATGTAGGACTCCATTTCAATATGCAGAAGATCAGATCCAAGATCCACATGCAAAAGGATAAACATCCATGCTCAACCACTAGCAGTTCCAGTGCTTGGGGTGCAGCAAACGTCGGTGAAAAAAGAAAGTTCACTATTGGAACGAAAAAGGAGGACCCAACCATCAGTATCATCCGCTGCTTCTGCTCATCGGATATACCCAAGGTCAAGGTCTTCCTGCATGGCTCAGGTGAAACGTGTTGAAGAGGATCATCGGACTGAAGCCAGCAATGCCACCGGACCCAAGACGCTTCTTTTGCCCCTTTCGCGGTGGATGGAATGATAATAAATGCATAATATATTTTGATATTGTATGATACGTAATGAAACTTTGACGATTTCACACATAGATGGTCGTTCCTACAGATATTTGTCATGGGAAAGATCGAATGGCCGGGCTGGCGATGGCGCCCGCAAAAGCCAGAGCTGGTTGGTTTCTCATTGGGTTTCTCAGCAATGCGATGACTGTTGCCAGGCATGACGTCATGAAATTCCAGGTGCTGTTGAACAACGATTGAAAGTGGGTAAATAGGGGATCCCATTTGGTATCGACCTTTGATTTCTAGAAGCTGGCCCGGTATGTTTTTTGCCGCAGTCTGCGAACGCCACAAGCCTCGTGAAATCCTCCACGGCTGTTTGGTACACAGTGGCCGGCCCTGGTGGACCCTTCCGGCCATCCATGGGACTGGACTGGTTACATCTAGTTGCTTTCTTCCATTCACATTGCATACCTATCACCCCTGCTTACTCCATGAAAATGCCGTAGGCGATGTAGGTCACGAACGATTTCCAGTCCCATGGATGGTGCTCGGCCTTCTCACCTTTTGCGGGACAGACGCGGGGAACGTGGCGAGGCACCGTTGGGCGATGTCAGCTTTGACGACGAGGAGGTCGGTCACTCACCATCGCCTATGTGGTAGATGGGAGGTGTAGATACTCTTAGGTCAAGAAGTAAGCGACTTAGAAGTCTTATGCGTTGAGGTAGGGTTTGTCCTGCAGTCAGTCAACAATTATATTGCTATTTTTGAACAAGGCCTTTACTAACCATCATCATCCACTGTTACAGGTATTAGGATAGACCAAGCATAGCGGCATTCCATCAACTAATTGTAGAATCCCCTGATATAGAACATGGAATAGCAACTGTCGTGCTCCCCATGCCCATGTCCTACCAGAAAGACTTAGGATGAAATCACAGGTTCTACCGAGACATCCTTGGTTGAATAGGAATGGAGAACCCATGAGAATCCCATGTGTAGATGTTCAGCAACTGGGAGGGAATTCCTTTGCTCTTCAACTGCACCTCCTCATTCAGCTAGCCTCATGTGCCTTGGTAATGCCTTGGCCCTTTACATCCTAAGACCAGGTCATCAATGTTTGTCACTGATCATGTCAGGCTTGAACCGTTTGGATGCTTGGGGACTTGAACCGAATTCATGCGGCCAATGCAGAATTCCCCCAACACATGCACAAGGGACCACGGAGTCGGGGTGGTAAAGAACACCCCCTAACCTGAGGCTCCTTTTTCCTCCAAGCATCATCGTTTTCTCATCCTTGTTCGCGCATACAACATGTTCTGATAGGGTTCCGGTCGTCCACCTCACGAGCCACCCGAGCCACCGAAACGAACACGCCGAGCCACCTTGGGGCTGCGGACCAGGAGGAGGCGGCTGAAGCAGCTGCACCCGAGCCGGTCAAGGCAGGGCGTTGCCGCGTGGTGAAGCG